CTTTTCAAACTTTCCTTAAGCTTACAGTTTATGTTGCACCAGCTAAGAACATAGAAAACAGGAACTGAGTTCTCTGAGTACTTCTAATTCTATTAACTTGTAACATCTCTGCCCACTTGGGAGAGGGGCAGCTCACACCCCACACACCAACAGCGGCCTCTGCACTCTGCATTCATCCCACTGGTCTTCCCTTTCTCACTGTCTTACCCCTTCCTTCCTTCCTTCCTTTCTTCCTTCCTTCCTTCCTTCCTTCCTTCCTTCCTTCATTCCTTCCTTCCTTCCTTCCTTCCTTCCTTCCTTCCTTCCTTCCTTCCTTCCTTCCTTCCTCCCTTCTTTTCTTCCATTTATTCATGGGAACACCTGATTCAGGCTTGGTTTCAGGGTAAGATTCTAAGGCTGTAGACCTTGAATGGCTCTCATACCCTACTACACCTAGATAAGGGTTATTTTTAAAAAAATCATACACCTCCCATGTTTACAACATGCCTTCCAAGTTGATTTCTAGCACTCTGAATATTTTGCTTTGTGTAACCATTAAATGACCATTTATAGATTTACACGTGAGAATTTCTAGTATGATTATAGCCTCTACTTTCAAGGTAATCAAACAATCCCTACCCCCTTCGTTTCTAAAGTTCTAGAATTGCTAGAAGAGAAAGGAAGGAAGGAAGTGGGGGGAGAGGGGGGAGAGAGAGAGAAAGAGAGAGAGAGAGAGAGAGAGAGAGAGAGAGAGAGAGAGAGAGAGAGAAGCAATACCATGCAGTTGAATATTTTACTCCCAAGGCTGAAAAGGGGATTTATCTCCTTCTCCTCCTACGGGAAGGTGGGAATATTCTCTTTCTTTTGCTTATCCAGCTAATAAAGGGAGAATCAGACTGACAGAGGTAATCGGGTCCAACTGAAAAACAAAGTCGGTTCAGTATCTCAGAGTTTCACAGAGAGTAGCACCAGAATATGGGCTTTCCAAAGTAACTTTAACTTTTGAGAAATAACTAGCAAGGAAAAAGTATTAGTAATACTGAAAATCAGGAGATGATCTGAGAGGGCTGTGGCCCTTCTTGGCCATATATAACTCAAAGCAAAGGACCCACACTCCTAAAAGCTGAGCAGATGTTGACTGGGTTTCAATAACAAGAACGCCTCGGTCCCAGTGGACCCCATAAGAGAGACTCTTACATGTAGGAGGGCAGTAGCCCCAGTAAAGTAAACAGAGGTGGCTGGGAAGTCCTCTCTCTGCACATAGATTCCTCTTTCACCCATGCTTAGAGATTCATTATTCTGGGTTAAGTTTTCTCCCCATCTTTAAAAAGAAATGTGTGTATACCAAAAGGAGACAGTTTATTAAGGTTCCCAACACAGAGCCTGGCCCCAAAGTTGTTACTATAATATTATTATCAACATCTAATCATAATAGAACACATTCAATACAGGACAATGAAATGAGTGACTAGCACAACACTTTTCCCATCTCTCCTTTGGCAACTGGGATTCCTCTCGACACTGGTCAGCCCTGAAACTAATCAATCCTTCACCTAAGAGTGCAAGCCCAGGAGAACCTGTCACCCTCCCTGCACTGGCTTTGCAGCCAGAAAGGTCTGGGTGTGAGTCCAAGTTCATCACTTACAATCCTGGAGATGTTGGGCAATTTTTAAACTCTGAGGTTCGACTTTCTGTCAATAAACCATACCACAGAACTGTTTTGGGAACAGAATAATATATACAAAAGGTCTGATCCATGCCAAAATATAACTCAACTGATCCAATTAAAAAGTTAAACCTCAACCTAGGTGTTCACAGCAACCAACACACACAAGAACAGCAAAACTGACCTCCTAGTTAATCTGGGTTTCACAGTTTTCTGCACCAGCATGTATCGCTGCATCCCCATCTTCCCAGAAAGGAGGAAGTGATGCCACCACAAATGTGATTTGTCATATTCGGTAAGTCAGGAGTCAAATTCCTAAAATTACATGCTCAGGTTGCCCGAAGCCATCTCTAACTGGGAGCTGTGACCAAACAGGCATTGGTCCTACCGGCTCTAGAATCTGCCCCAATTCCATCTTTGAAAAGAAATATGAAAGAATTCTGAAACACAGCTGTAGAAGTTAATGAGGATGTCTTGACTTGCATAAACATGTTGTCATGACAAAATGGCTTTCTATGCAATTTCAAGATCTGGTAAAATAGGAAGTTAAAATTAACCTCAGTCCTTTCATAGTTAAAACCTCAGCAAATAAACAGTGGTTTGGAGGCATGGCAACATGCCTCCCTGCAGATCTATACCCTGCTTCAGATCATTTGAGATGTCTATTTGGAGTGATTGCCAAGCTCATCTGATTCTAGATAAGCGAGGTGCTGTTCTATATATGTGATTTCCTGCAGACAGAGTTAGAGGGGCTGGCATAGCCCTTCCAATGAAGTCCTAGCAAAGCAGGGTTCTTTAGCTTCTCTAGAAACCCTGGCGAGCTCTCTCAGCCCCCAGTTACTGACATTTCTGTACAGCTGAAAAACATTCATGTCTGTGTGGCACTGCTGGAGAACTGCTCTGACTACTTTTAGGATATTTTTCTTAAAACTACTGCTGCAGTTTCAGAGAGAGCCATAAACACATACTGTTTATGTGTTTCATTTCTTAAAGTATTTTCTTAAGTATAACACAGAAGCTTTAGGGCTAAGCCTGGAAAATAACCATTTTCCTACATGTCAAGAACAAAATGAAAGTCTTGGCTGGAAGAGCCTTTCATATTATCCCTGTTAACTTTCTAATTTCAAGGAAAAAAAAAGCCCAAGGCTCTACTCAAAACATGACTAGTATAAAATAGCATTTTCTCATAGGAAAAAAGAATGAAAAAGGAAAAGTAGTTTCACATGAAAACATTCTGGCGACTTATTTTTAAAAAGTTATTTCTACAATTTTACAAGTGAAGTACTGAATATCAAATTCATATTCTGGAAAGAACGAACATCAACAATATAGTTAACACATTCTTTAGAGTAGCAATTGAGCCCCTACGGCACTCTAAAAAGCAAGTTATGATTTCTTAGATGTTGCAGAAGTAAAAAGTTTTTAAAAGGAACAAGAAAGGGGGTGATTCTTGGTATTAAACCTGATACTCTGCAAAGCATGTAATACTCCAAAGAGCTGAAGAATGCCCAGGACATGATCCACGCTAATGCTCAAGAGCTGCTGAGGACAAGAATTCAACGTGCCACCTCTCTCTCTTTCTCATTTTTTTTTTTTTTTGTAAAGAAGCGTATCTGATGAAGAGGGAAATCAGATTAGATTCACTCCTCACCAAAACTGTCCGAAACAAAGCAGACTCAATGGTGACCATTTCAATTTGCCCCTCTGTGGTTAAATTTTCCACTGCCTTTAAAAATGCTTAATATTTTTGGTTCCAATACCAGCAGGAAGAAGGCAAACACCTTCATCAACTTAGTAGTATAAACAATCTGGTAAGCAATGAAAGAAAAAGAAAACAACCTAAGTCTCCCCTTTGATTTTACACACGGAGTCCTGAAGAGGACATGAATTAATTTAAATGACCTTAAACACAAGATGAAAGAATTTCCTTGAGAGTTTTACTCTCTTTAGAAGGAAAGCATCGTTTCACCGCAAGCCCAACTCTCACCCTTAATACACCATTTGACCTAATTTACCAGATACACTTGCATTTTGGAATTTTTAAAAATCAATTTGCATATCTTGAATAATTATTAATGATTATTAAGCAGCAGGAAACCAATGATTTCATGGGACTTCTTCCTAAATGCACCTACGATAAGACTACCGATGAGAGGCAGCCCCTGTAAAACATCAAGCTTTAGTTTCTGTTTGTTTACACAAGGGCTGCTCTACAGATTGGCCACGTAACAGCTGTGTGCATAGTGTCTTATGGGAAGATTTCTCCGGGAATTTTCCACTCAAATAAAAGAACCACCCCCAGAAACATAACTGGGAGAGCTAAGGGCATGGGCTGTCATGCTGTGGAAGACGGCAGCAACGCCTTTGAGAGCCCCAGGTGTGTTAACCCCAAAAGAGAGCTATTGGCCCAGGAAGAAAGAACAGATGACACTTGTACATCCCACAATACAATTCACACACAGAAAATGCCTGGGGAAGCTAATTTGGGTTGTCCAAGAGGGGCAAAGAGGTCCCATATCCGTTGCTGGCCACCTGCTCTTTTCTCCAGATGTGTTGTTTATATTTTCCTTTGAGTTTAACAAGCCTGCTACTTTGAGAAAGGAATATTACTGTGATCATATCATATACAGCTGTGTCCTACATGGCACAGAGAAAAGACTGCGTTTCGGATATTTGAAATGGTATCACAGAGCAAACAGTTACTGACGTCAGTGCTTCTACAGTGTAAATGAACTTTTGTATTATCTAATTTGGCATGGTGGGTCTTAGGCAATTATTGCATTTTAGTGTTTTTGCAATTGCCAGCTAGCCCCATGGGATGGGGGGACTTGTATTCTTTATCGATTTGCAAATAATACCCTTGATGTGATGGCACCTAGTATTTCTTAATTTTTTTTTTTTTTTGAAAAAGCCATATATTAGATACAAAGCCCACAAATAATCTGGAGACAAGAACTTGAAAACATCCCGACCTTCATCTTGCTCAACATATGTATATATGTGTGTGTGTGTGTGTGTGTGTGTGTGTGTCTTCAAGCCTAATGGGTAAAGAAACAGCACAGCATAGCCAAAGCTAACCCTTAAGAAATTCAGGAATTCGGGAGAGGGATATATCCGTATGTGGACATCCGTATCCGGGGATCCTGTTACAATGCAGATCTGACTCGGCACCTCGGGGTGGGGCCCGAGACTCTGCATTTCTAGCAAGCTCCCAGGTGGTGCTGTTGGTCTGAGGACCTCTCTGAGCATCAGGGGCAGACCACGGTTGGTCTGGGTGGGCTCTGCACGTGGGGCCTGGCTGGGGGTGGCGGCCCAGGCGAGGGCTAGGTGGGAGGGGACTCCGTCCAGTACTTACCCTGCATCTGACTCTGAGGCTGAGGGTTAAAGGCAGTGGAGTGGCTAATGGAGGCGCGAGGGTTGGGCGTGGGGGCTGGGTGGTGTGGGCTGGCCCTCATGGCTGTGCGCCGCAGCTGCTCCAGTTCACTGAGCCGCTCGGAAAAGGACAAGCTCCCAGGCTTGGTCTGATCATCTAGTTTCTGCCGATGTCCTATTGTGGGGAGCGGAGCAGGGAGGGGAGGGGACAGGGAGGCAGGGAGGGAGGTGGGAAGGAAGGGAGGGAAGAGATCAGAAAATGTATTGTGGTGGGTTTTCTAAAATTGGGGGTTTTCGTGTCTATCCCCTCCCTCTCCCCTTACCCCCAACATGGACTTGCTAGAGACTTGCCCACTGGGCTGGCTGCCAGTGGGAATTTGGGGACTGTCCCCTCAGCTGCCTGGAACTCCTTTCACCACACTGGCCACTGGGTGCTCCCAGAGTCTGGGCCCCGGCACCCACCCCAACTCTCTGCATCCACCTCCATTGGGTAGAATGCAGTGGGATATGGCTGGGACGGTGGTGACGGCGGGAGGGAAAGAGGTCCATTAATTGTTGGCACTTGGCCACATGCCGCCATGGGCTAAGCCATGGCAGTCAGGAAAGGTGCTCTCCCGGTGGCATCAGAACGGCTGCTCCTTACTGCAAAGCCAACCACCGGCAGGTTTTAGAGGCAGCAAAGTGGGCCCTGGAGCTTAGCAGCAGGCACCTCGAACAGGAAGTGAGGTGGGGCCGCTGCAAACCCACAGCCCCCGGGGAGGCCAGGCTTCCTGGTACGCGCAGGCACCCTCAGCCCTCACCCCCTCTCCCTCTCCCTCTCCTCACAGGCTTTTCACAAGCACTTTCTCTTCCCTGAAGCCGGCTCCCCAGGTCCACCCATACGGGGAAGCTGACAGAAAGGCGTAGCCTGGGCCTTGTCCGATATTCCCAGCAGGCCGGGCCCACCCACCGGAGCCCAGAGGGAGCTGCCAGCCGATCTGGTGAGCCTCTCCAGGGCTCAGGAATCAGGATGGGAAGGTGGGGCCCTCAATGTGCAGACAGTTAAGTGTCCTCACCCTGCTCCTCACCAAAAACACTGTCACCAGGAAGCAGCGAACAGGGGCCACTCACACAGCACATGGACCTGCAGTTTTCTCCCTTAATCCCTCATCAAAGTGCTTTTTTTTTTTTTTAGAAGAAGTATCTCACTCTGTCACCCAGGCTGGAGTGCAATGGTGCATTCATAGCTCACTGTAGCCTGGAATTCCAGGGCTCAAGCGATCCTCCTGTCTCAGCATACCAAGTAGCTGGGACTGACTACAGGAGTGCATCACCACACCCGGCTAGTTTTTCTTATTTTTTGTGTTGATGGGGTCTCCCTATGTTGCCCAGGCTGGGCTTAAACTCCTGGGCTCAAGTGATCCTCCCAACTCAGCCTCCCGTAAGTGTTGCGGTTACAGGCGTGAACTACCATGCCCAAAGTGTCTTTAAGCTAGAGACAGCCCTATCAAGCAGAGCTGAGGCTCCTAGGTAGAGATGTCGCTACAGCCGGCCTGGGCCATTCATTTCCTCCTTTAAAGAGAAGGGCCGCCTGCAGCTTCCTCACCCTTGAGATCTGAACAGAGACCCTGACTGAGGCAAGTAGCCTCAAGGCCACCTTAGAGAAGCAGCCCGCTTGTTGCCCCGACAAAGTGTCCTTTCACATGCCCTGGCCGGAGCCTGGACTGGAAAGAGGATCCCTCGATTGCACTCCGGCCAGCCCCGGGTAGGCGCGGGCCTGGGGAAGCGCATTTTAGCCCAGCTCCCACTGGCTACAATTGTAAAATGAAATCGTATGACTTGCATTATGGCTCCGAATCTCCGTGGCTTGCTGTTTCTTCCTGCTGCCGGGCCCCTTGGCACAGTTAACACTGTCTCAAATTCCAGACCAGAAAAAGGGCCCACTATATTGCAGTGATTTTATCATTAACAAGACCTGTTTGGCTCCAAAATGAGGAAAAATACTTAAGCATAATATTTGTGTAGTTCAAATGCAACGCTCCCTCTTTTCATGTGTCACCAAGGCAAATCTGGACTCTGATTCAGCGCTCCAGCCCACAACACTCGGCTTGAACGCAAACACCCTGAGTCACGCAGGCTCTGCACACATGCGAGAGGCCTCTTACGGGCTCAGTATTTTAAGCACCAGCTTTGTGGACGAAAGGCTGTGGGGCCAGGTTCCCAAGCAACTCCCATCACCCCTTTCCCTCAGAAGTACAAACATGGCTTTTTCTAAAACAATCTGTAGGTCAATCATGGTGTAATTCATTGTCTGGAGGGACACCTTCCTTCACTCCTCCCTCCTCTCATCTTTGTGATAGAGCTTTGGCTTCCTGAGGACCAAACTGAAAAATCTAAAGTTTTCTTGCAGAAAAACAAACAATTCCAACTCAAAAACCATTCAGAACGTAAGAAGTCGGCCCTTTAAATGTTTACCACAGCCTAATGCCTGGAATTAGAAGTCAAGGAAAGAAGAAGGCAGGAAAAATTATTCTGGAGAGTTCTGCTGCCTCAGAAAGAATGCCGGTCACAAAGGCTTCCAGCAAGTTTGTACCCATTTCAAAACTTCACATTCCTTGGGCATCCGGTGGCATTTTTAGAAAACGCCGTGTCAAGAACAGTGGGTGACCCAGGGCATTGATGGGTACAAGGTCATTCTGAATACATGGCATTGGGCATGGTTGAGACTATCGCCAGCCTTTGAAGAAAGGCTGTCATTAGTTGTGTCTGCCTCGGCCACCAAGTGTGGGGACATGTGCCACTGAGAAGCAGAGCAGGAATAAGTCATTTCAGGTAAGCCACTCCTGTGGCCAGGCACGACGTGAGATTATTGGGTTTTTGAATTAGCCCCTCTCATTACGCTATGCTTAAAAAAAGTTTTCACATGTGAGCAATTTCTATACCAGCTGACACCTGCCAAGACCCAATAGTCTCTGTAGTCATCTACAGAGATTAACTGGTGATTGTCTGCTTTAGCGGGAATGTTCGGGCATAACTCTCAGAGAAAACAACTCTGCACTCTAAGCTGTTTCTTAAGCCTTCAGAGTCTCGGGCTGAGTGTAACGTCGGTGGATTGGAAGAGTTCATTCCACACTCTCCCCACATGTGTTCCTGGGAGCAGCAAGCAGGACTGTTACTGCCTTTGTAGGGTCCTGGCCCCATGCTCACAGCGGTGCTGGAGAGTTGTAACAGGGGAAAGGAGAAGGCACAGGGGAAATGAGAAGCATTATCATATTCAAGGTGTGGTTAAGATGCATTTATAAGGCAGATCAAAGGAACACCTCATTCTTCTTTTCTGAAACCATCAAGATTTCATGTGCCAAATAGCAATATTTTGCATGAAATATATAGGAACTTCCGATATAAACTTTCAAGCTGGGGAAAATGAATGTTTTATATGTCTCCAGTTTCCTGTATCTGTGTTCAATTAAAATGTCCATTTCCCCCTGAATTTTAAATAGAGGAGTATGGAAAACGGCCACTATCAAATTCACTTTTCTTCTTTCTTACTGAGTACTGGGCTCTGGAGGGCAACAGGAAATTCAGCCCCGAATCAAACCTTCTGGTAGAATTACCGTGCAGCCCTGAACATCTGCATGTTGGCACCTGGCATTTCGAGCATGTTAGGAGTCAATTGTGAATGTTTACAGGATGGTGCCTAAAATAGTGGCTACCTCAAGATTTCATACTGGGATAGCTTAATGAATCTTAAGCAGAACTGAAAAGGACCCTAAATTATTCTAGTATTTTCTCATTTTTTGAAAAAAGAATTTGGTTGGAATTTTATTATATTAATATATACAGTCATATAAATCCCAAAAAAGGGGAAATAATGCCATTTTTTAAAATTTTACTTCATTCTAAAGACATTCCTGTTTTCTGAGATGGCTTCCCATTAGGGCATCCCAAATGCTATGACATTTTGCGGCAGATAATGAGACCAGCCTTCACTTTTCTGCTGCAATAACTAGACTGAGCAGGCAAGCATATCTCATTGATAACTGAACTTTTTCAAGACACCATTGTGATCTGTGCCTGTAAGCAACTTAAATATAGTATATGATCTTCCATTAAAGAAAATAGATAAGGTTAAATTGCCACCTTTTCTTGGGAAATTTTGGCTAGGGAGAGTAAGGAATTTTCTGGAAGTGAACAACATGTTAGTTCATGTTTCTGATATGAGTTTATTAGTTTTCTTTATAGAGTCTCAGCAGAAAAATTAGGGAGGTGTATACTCAAAGCATTGCCATGATGAGCAGCTGAGAGAAATCTATGCAAAATGATAATACCAAAAAGATATATCTCTCTGTGTGTATATGTATATAAAATTCAGGTTCTTCTAAATCAATATATGAATTTCACATATTCACTTTTAAAAGGATATCTGTATTTCGGAAGATGTTTGCCAGTCAACCTGATACTAACTACTTGGATCTGGATATAAAAACTTGGCTTTTCTTTCTTTGATTTGCTACCATTTTATAACTATGGCAAAGAGATCACTGTGTGTAGAGAACAGCTCCCTTTTCCTGGCATAAATGTCTAACCTCTAGGTTCTGGGGTCATTAGGATTTTAAAGCGATGGTAACGAACGTGAAGGTGATCCTTCCTTGAAGCCCCTTGCAGGTGGTGAAATGACCCTTCCTAACTGCACACCTAACCATCTGCTGGTTAATTTAATGTTGGAAAATATTGCTTAATATTATATATAATTTATATATTGTATACACAATATATAATGCAATGTAAAATATATAATGATATATAATGATATATAGATACAGTAAATATTATAATACATATTATATATGCATGCTTATATATTATCCAATGTTATAGAAATATGGGTAGCCACACTCTCTGCCCTCCCCAACTTCTTTTCATGTCATTAAGCTAAGAGAATAACACAGGGTTGGAGTGCTTCAGAACTGGAGAAGGGCCAGAGCAATCAGCCTTAGTTTTTAAGGCTGATGTGTGGGAAGTGAGGGTCAGAGAGGTTATGTCATTTACCCAATCTCACACAGCCAGTTAGAGGGAGAGGGCAGGTCTGAAAATATACTCGCTCTCAACACCTACTGACACACACACTCAAATTTCTGTGAACCCAAAATGAAGAGAGAGGCACATCACGTTACACAGTTTTAGATCAGTAGATCA